ATGGACTATTTCCGCAGTCTTTATTATCGTTAACAACGTGACTGCACGCTTGTCGCAGTGGCTGGGCAACTGGCTGCCGCGCAACGTGTCGCGGGTTCGATTCCCACACAGAACAACTCTTTGTGTGATCCACAAATTGTTGTTCCGGGTCTGGGTGTCATGTGTATGTGAACTTGTATGTTTGTAAACGCACCCACGACACAGGACTAGAGAGGGGCAACGTAAAAAAAAATTTTTGTTTATTTAATCAAAAGGAAGCTTGCTTTCTTTTATACAATAACAACAAACGTAAAGTTTTACATCCAATAAAAATTACCAAAAAATGAATTCCATTTTAAAATAAACCTTCACATTATTATAATAAGATACATATACGTAAATTGGCAACGGAATTGATACATTACCCTAGAGATAGTAACACAAAGTACATAAATTTGATGTATGACCCGGCCCAACAAATGTATCTTAATTATTAATGGTATGGCCTCACTAGGCCCTCGTTATACTGTTAATTGGACCTTAAATTGGTGTAGACTCACCTTTATGTAAGTTTGTGGTCCTATGCTAGTCAGGTTTTGAATTTGAAATTGTTTTGTGGTAGTGACTTTATTGGTGGTTTAGTGAGGTTCGGGGTTCGAAGTTTGAGTCGAGAAAAGTTTTTATTGGGTAGTTGATACTGATTTTAATGCCTATTTAATTAATAGTGGGTTTCAAAGATAAAATTGTTGTAATAATTATTATCCTATAACTTACATTACAAAAAATATTGTTCAACTCTCATATTAAGTCTGACAACTGACCACTAGAGACATCTGTTGTCATAAAGCATTAATGGAATGTACCGACAGATTATAGATGTAAAACATTTAATTTTTTTTATTGAATTGGTTTAAATACGTACAACGGAACAAAAACACACCATACACGACTGACTGCTATACAGTAAATAATTCGATATGACATAAAATAACTTGTGTTAGCTTTAAAATCACCCACAGATAAGACTAACTATTTTTCTTTTCACAGTATCGAAAATTTTAATCGTGCTCAGAAAACAGCTCTTACAAACACCTCTTTGCTTACAGATCCCTTCTGAAAACAACAATAACAAAACAAGAGACACAATTACGTACAAACCACAATGTTAAGACGTTTTAATTGAAATCGATCTATGATTCTATTAGCACGTGTACAATGTATGACTACACCTCAAGCTAAGACAAACCAGTATATACTGACCGTTTAATATAAGAAGATATCATAGAAAGCAAGACCATGATATATTGGACTTGTATAGCTTGTGTAGCTTGTTCATCCAATACCAAATACAATACGACTGGAAAATATTCACAGCGTGAGAGAACACAATACAATGATCGCAAAAAATCAATTTGTGACGTTCAAAGGAAAAATCGCAGAACATTTTACATGACTTTTTCACGCGTCAGTAATAGAATTACAAAGCTATTGTTGAAGAGAGTAACCAATTATGGTCTTTGTATAATGGGTTATGCAGATTTTTATTGGATGTGAGATAATCTAGAGTGTCTAGTCAGTTTATAACGTTAAAGTTATATTCATCGAGCAAGTCTAATGGAGGATACAATATACAGTATCGTCTTAAACTTTTTTTTAATGTGGGAAAATCATCGGATTTCTTCTCCCGCCTGGGTGAGACGGGAGGGAGTGTCAGACTCTTACTGACTAAAAACCACCCCGTTCCTACTCCTGCACTTCGAGCCAGAGCCCCGGTAACCCGTTAAGTTCTCCGCGGCTCCATATTGTCTTAACCATAAGAGTACTCGGGGCCCGTGCCCAGGACTTCCATCCTTAGGGGGCCCGAAGGACCGACAATTTCTATGACGGACACACACTCACTACATGCGGTAACCAACTGCCCCGCAACGTGGAGTGGGTTCGGTTTCCGTACGGTGCAAATCTTTATGTGTCATATGTATGTGAACTTGTATGTTTGTAAATGTACCCACGATACAGGAGAAAATCTTGGTGTGGTGCAACTTAAAAAAAAAAAACTCTCCACAAGGGCCCCAAATTGTATTATGGCCAATATTATGGCCAAGGGCCCCATCGTAGTCTAACACGGCCCAAAGAATACATAGTCCGTATTACAACATAAACTGTTGCTAACATGGTATTATTTTCATACATTTTGTATTCTGATTTATTTAATTGTTGGGTCTAGAAAAGTGTTAATTCACTATTAGAATGTATTAGATTTCATACTTGTGGTTAGTTCGTCTTGGTTTACAAAAGTTCAAAAAAAGCCAACTGGGTTGTGACCGGCAATCTATCAGGAACAAGGACAAACAAAATATTGCAATCATTAGATGAGACCATTGAAACATACACGTGTGTCTAGTATCTATATTTTTGTTTGTACATTGTGTGTGTGTGTCTGTTTGCCTCTGCAGAACGCCGATTGAATTTTAATCGCTATATCAAACTGAATGATGTAATCAAAATCATTCAATGTACGAGTGTACGTATTTACGAATAACGATCGGTGATATTATTATATGGATATCGCGATACTGATGTGGTAACCTGTTCTTCCTGTTATGATGTAAATTAATATTTGACGTGGCTAGAGTTTTAATACAATTTTTGATACTTTTTATGGTATGGTACCCCTTCGGGGATAAAAAGGCGTAATGTTATGTATGTTATGTATTTTTATGGTATTGATTCATAGCAATACATAGATACGGCCAATTTTTCAATGCCAGTTAAATTTTATCAGAGGAATAACTTTGAATATTTGACAATTCTTCCATACTAAAAACAGTCAAATGTCAATTTTATTCTATAGTTAAGAATTAACTGATAGTTGAAAAATCGGCCCTTAATGATATACCTATGTCGCGGAGAGCCTAACGGGTAACCGGGGCTCCGGCTCGACGTGCAGGAGAAGGAACGGGGTAGTTTTTAGTCAGTAAGAGTCTGACACTCCCTCCCGCCTCACCCAGGCGGGAGCAGTCATTCGATGATTTTCCCCCTTTTAAAAAAGAAATGATATAACTATATACCGACTATTATTGAGAAAAGTGGATAATACTTTCCCATATTCGGGAATTGAATTGAGTGATGACGTAAGGTACTGAGTCATAGTCCCTGACCTCTGGCTCTCTGGAGAAGCTCAAAGTTGCTCAGCGCGTGATGGAGAGAGCTATACTCGGGGTTTCTTTGCTCGATAAAATCCGAAATATGGAAATTCGCCAAAGAATTCAAGTCACCGACATAGCTCGCAAAATCTTCAGACTGAAGTGGCAATTGGCAGGCCACGTCACTCGGTGGACTGACGGTAGGTAGGCCAGAAACGTCCTTGAGTGGAGACCATAGAACGGAAGATGACGCGTGGGCAGGCGTCCCGCTAGGTAGACCGACGACATTGCCAGAGTTGCGGGGAGCCACTGGATGCAGCTAGTTAGTTGTCGTTCGACGTGGAGGTGTAAGGGACAGGCCTTTGTCCAGCGCTGGACGTCATTCGACTGTTGATGATGATTATAGGAATTGACCCCAAAGCACTTACGACCAAAATGGCAGTTGAAATCAATCACATCAAAATGTGACAGACAATGAGCTTTAATATGGGATTCATTTTATGATTGATATCTTAAGTGAACTTCAAACAGTTCTGAAAGATATTGATGGACATCTGTATGTTTTTCAATTAATTCTTATCCATTTAAGTAGCTTCATGTTTGCGAAAATCAATCATTGTTTATGTGTACTCTTGTATCTTGTTTACAAAGTTCAATTTAATTGCGTTTGTTTGAAATATGTGTATAGCAAAGGTCTATATTTAAAGTCAAAATTACTATTAGTCTTTGGATTAGTTCGGGATGGATCAGTGATATCATGATACTGTATTTGAAAATAAAAAAGAACTATATACTTTCTTCATTTCATTTTGGTAATGGTTATCATAAAACAGTGAATAAAAAATGAGAAGAAAATAACACAAATATAAATACTATTGTTCCAGCAAGATACTATCGTTCCAGAACGTTCCAACATGCTAAAGCATAGTTTCCGACAGTGTGCACTTGCATGTAAGATGTCGAAGAATCCTTTTCCTTGCCGATGCCGATAGTGGGCGCCGGGCCTAACGCTTTCTTTGTGGGTAGCAAATACTTCACATTGCAACGTTATTTTGTTAGAGTATTATAATGAATGATAGAAAATTGTAAATGTTTCTACTAATGCAACAAAGGCTTGGAGAGTTGGTCTAAATTCAGTTAGGTTTTAAAAATCATAATTGCAAGACATGTTATTTATGTGTCCCATACTGTACAGATATTTAAAGAACACCAAGATAAAATCATCACATTACAGAGCAGTAGAAGCTTAAAGTAACACTAATACGTTAGCCTTTTCAAAGATTTCTTAGAATTTAAGAACTGCCAGTTGACGATAAAATATTAAAACAGTCTACGAAACTCCACTCCGTACGATTCAAAATTAATGGTAGAACTTCGCTAAATCGTCTTGGTGGAGCAACTTTAATAAGAAGCCTAATAACCGAGTGGTAAGGATTAAAATCGAGTGGCAAGGTACGAATAAGCCGCAGTCAGCAGCTGCAACGCTTCGCTTAAGCGCTTAAGCGTCAATTTGTTTCAACGTTACTCACCGATAACTTTCAAACTAAGTTCAACAAAGAACCTTAACATGAAGTGATAAAGTCCCATCTTGAACGGAACCAAGAACTAGACGCAAAAGCAGTACTCCATAACTCGCCTTCCTTTAAGATATGCACCGATGACTTGGGAGTCGTTTTGAGTAAAACTCTAAGCTTTGGAAATAAAGTTTAAAATGCTACAACAGAAGTGAATTACTTCAACTGTCTAAAGAGGCGTTAAGGCTTACTTTTCGCGTTAGGTAAGACAAAATAGGTAAAATCGACATTTAGTACGTAATTTTTCACGTTTAGAGGTCCCTTATTTCTGAGTAATATGGTTGAAATTTGGAAAAAAACTTACCGAAGGTGCTGTGAGGAGTTGGAGAGCTTCACTCAAGTTTTTGAGTGTGAGGGTGTTTCTCTCTCCATCTTCCTCTTCAGGTCCTGGAAGGTGTACCGAGGACTGTCGGGATCTGAATTCTGGTTTCTTTGCACTGGATCCACTGCCATTTGCGAACTGATGTTGAGAGGACGCTCGGCGAAACGGACACGTCATGGTGGAATTCGGTGTTCTCAAGTCATTGGTTTGGTATTCAGTTTAGTATCTGAAAAGATAAAAAAGGGATTATAGATACATTGTTAACAGGCTTAATTGGTAAACATTATAGAGTAACCTATAGAATTTCTTGCTCGTTCTTCTCAATAGGAATGAGTAAATAAGACCTTAGAATGAGCTTATAGCTTTACTTTTATTTTTTATTGACGTTCAAAAGTGCCTTTCTGGTGTAATTGAAATAATTGATTTTAACTTTGACTTTGGAAAATAAGACGTGGATAGACTTATTCTGTATTTCTTAATTATATTCAGAGCTAATGCCGATCTCGAATAGACAAAAACTAGAATAACATGCTAATTAACGCATGTAACTCAGAAGTTAACAAAAAATTTCATAGTCAGTTAACAAGCCGATCGTGTAAAATTATTCTTTTATAAATTACACTTAAAAAAAAGAGCTTCAACTCCCTCTTTTATTAAGTCGTTTAATTAATATACAAAAACCTGAGCTTAACGAACATTTTTCTGAAAACCACATCAAAATCGATTCAGACAATCCCGAGATTATTGGTCACAAATATACATACAAGTAGTTTCTTTCTTGATTCTTTTTTTTCTTGATTAATGATAAAATTGATGCAAATTATGAAAAACTACCTAAAACAAAAGCGACCGATGCTAAAACCAATATCTGAGATCTTTTTTATCGCCATTGACACAGTCTACGGGGTACTACTAACTATAACCCAAATGAGACATTTAAACTTAAACGAGCGAACAAAACAATAGACAGAGTTTCCCAGTTTATATCACTTCACAAACTGCCTTAAACAGTTCCTGTCTAAACAAAACTAATGTATGTAAATAGTTTAAAACAAATAAACGGTCCTTTCCGTAGTCAAACAATATAATAGTTTCCTAACAAATATTTGAGGTAGGTTAGTTAGGGACTGGCTAATATTTCGACGGTAATTGCTCTGTACTGCTATCTGAAGCTTTCATTTACACATTTGAATGAAATAAGTGGCTAACCAACACGTGTTTTGAGTAATTATTCAATGTTTAAATGGTACACGATGATGGTGTGATATTTTTTTGAAAGTTTTATCTTGTTCGTCGTATGGTCTTAAGTGACTGCTACGTGTGAGATAAAAAAGAAACACTGTTTTAGGCACTTTTGTGAACCATTTTTTTTTTATTTTCAATTTTCATATATAACACTACAGCTAACGCCATTGAGTTATACTGTTAATCTTATTATATTAAATTATTAACTATGTTTAATGGCCAGATAACTAAACTAATTTCAAGCCACGATAAGAGCTCAAATTCTTCATAGAAAAAACTTATTTGGTTGTTTCCAGCATCATATGGAATGTAAAATGTTTTTAGGTATGATTAGTTATGACTTTACACCACTGTGAAAAGTCTTTTAAAAACTAGTCTAGATCTTTGAGATTTTGCACGTGCAATATCTAATTCCGATAAACATTTGCAATTTTCCTTGGAGCTCTTCTATGACAACTATCAACTAAAGTAAAGGGTAGAATATACTATACATATTAGAGCAAAATAATTACATTCATTCCCATAACACTCAAGGCCGTTTCTTCATAAGCAATTTTCTTCGAGGACATGCCCTCCCTTAGGAATCCCTCAGAAACATGTATGTAGGTCATATCAATAAATGCTGAGTTTAGGTCTACTTAAGGTCTAATATCGTTTGGTAAGTATCATAGCATATTTGCTAAGATCTACTCTTATAGCAGTTCTTAGAAAGGTTTTTTAAAAATATTAAAATATCGAACTTTTTTCGACGTTGATAAGGCTTTAGAGGCCCATCATTGAAGCCTAAAAAATCATCACAATATTAAACCCAAGTCATAATAATTCTTCACATCCCATTCATTTTCATATAATTGCCCGTACTTTTTTTTGTTACTTCTGTGATTTCTTTCACCACAAAATATTAACCTGAAAAGCGTTATTTAGTCTTTAGTCTTAAAGACTTGTCTATCTAACTCTATCTATCTCTTTTCCAAAGTAAAACGAAATATAACTAGATCACGTAAAATAATTCCTTTGACAACTCATCCTGTAGCTAGGTACACGAGACCATAATAAAACGAGAAAATACAAAAAGCTATAAATTACCCGAGTCGACAGTCTTGTTATAACTTTGTCTATAATAATAATAACTGCCTTAGTTTGATTATAACTAAACAGAAACCTTACAATGCTGAACTGAACTTGTAACCCTACAATATCCGAGACCCGAGGGGATCCCGTTATCAAGAAACTCGAGTTACTACATAATGAGTTTCGAGAACTTTTTTCTGTATATTTTGAAAGGTCAATTTTATGGTTAAAGTTAATTTGTAAGATGAAGATTTGTATTATAGTGTAATTTCTTTCTGTAGGCTTTCTGTTCTTAAAAGGTGTACAAGCTACAGGTAGCTAGAGTAGGCAGACGTGCCTACATTATTACGGCACTTAGGTATTAAAATAATTGGCTTACAATGTAACACCCACTTTTCACTATTTATGATATGAGTCCCATGTAATAGGAGGTGAACCTATTACCATATATCGAGCACAATACCGGTCTTCTAATTTCTGTCTTCTGCCGTGTATGATATTAACGAATGCTCCATGGACATAATTATTGTGGCATAGTACCTTCTTTTTAACTTGTGGAAATCCTGATGGATACACTTTGGCTAGACAATGAGCGTCAGATATCAGTATATGTCGGACTCTTACCGACTAAAACTACACACTTAATCTCAGAAAACAATGAGAGTCACTGGGTACTCGAATGAACGAACTCACCTGCGCGGTGGCCTAGTACCTATATATATTTTACTCAAAACTAGCTGTTGCTCGCGATTTCGTCCGCGTAGTAGTATTATGAGTTTTACAACATAACTTCTGTTTTGGTTCAATTTTCAATATAAAAGTGGCCTGTGTTACTCATTAGTACATCAGCTACATTGCAATAAAAGTCTTGCAAAATTTGTCCATTCCAGAGATTAGCCAGTACAAACAGACAAAAATTATAAATAATGTTATTTTGGTATATGTGGCCTATGTATATTGTAGTAATAGCGATTATTTTAATATTACAATCAGGCACTTAAATTTTTTATGTGTATAGTTTATAAGAATTACACGTAAACGTACTTTGTATATATTGTATTTTTCCAAATAAAACATTGTATTTATAAGTACCATAAACATCGTTAAAGTAAAATTACAAATTAATAAAGCCAACCGCGGGCTTCACTCGAATCAAAAGTGCCACGTTGAAACAAAAAGGCGGTCAAGCACAATACTGTTGCATTCTGCTCAAATTGCCTGTTTGCATGGCTACGACCCAGATATTAAACAATGTTTTCGTTTAAACTGCAAATGCAGATTTATTTATTATTATTATTTTTGCCTTGATCATGGTATGAATGTTACAATGCGTAGTCGACGGCAAGTGCGACAGAGTTGACAAGAATAAAATAATTTTAAATTCGTGTAACTTATTGGTTTTATTCTGGGAAGTTCTGGAAAACAGTACATACGTTAACAGTCTATTATGTTGGAGAAATCTGTCTTCATCAGGCGTAGTCCCAAGCCGTAACATGGAAATCTATCCGATTTATGGCAATAGTTTCGATCCCATTGCAACATGGACATGGGATCGTCCACTATGAACAATAAAACACTAATATTTAGTAACTCCTACTTCGTCATCCATTCTATAAAACCATGTTTTCATTTCTTAAACACCACAATTGCAGATGTATTATGTAAAAAAGGGAAATAATAAGGTGAAAATTTGGATATCCTTTAATATTTTTTTTGTAACCAAAAACCCAAAAATCCGCCCGCAAGCCCAACTACAAATGTTTACAATTCACAAAATATTTACACACACCCAGAACATGAAATTTTACCCCAAATAGTTGCGGTAAAGCATTTATTTTAAAATAAATGGATAATTGGTATAATTAATGCTTGTAGGGAAGAGTTTCACAATTTTGAATTAAACTGTCAAACACCAAGCGGTCACCGGTGACCGCAACCTATTGTTCTATAATTGTGTCTACAAAACCGGTACTCGACGAGTTAATTGGTTAGACTGCCTCATTGTCCGAGTGGTCGCAAGTGCGACTGCCGGGCAAGGGGTCTCCGGTTCGATTCCCAGGTCGGGCAAAGTATTACAGGGTTTTTCAAAAAATTCCCAGCAGTAGCACGGAGTCTGGAATTGTGCCCGGTATATGGCAATAGGCTCACCCCCTATTACATGGGACTCATAACATAAATAGTGAAAAGTGGGTGTTACATTGTACAGTGGCATAATGTACACCTCTGCCTACCCCTTCGGGGATAAAAGGCGTGATGTTATGTTATGTTGGTTAGCTTGGTAAATATAAAATTAGCCGATGAAAATAATTCCACGGTTTTTTTTGACAGGGGAAAATCATCCAATTCTTTCTCCCGCTTTAGATGAGGTCAGGTTGGGTAAGTGTCAGACTCTTACTGACTAAATCCCAGGGTTTAATTTGTGAGGCTAATTAAGTGGTCTATGTATCAACACTTCAACCAATAAGTATTTGCTTTAACCATATAATAATGTCTTATTTTATGGAAAAGACAGAAAAAAGTAGTTTGTTGTAGTTTTCGTCAAGAATGTCATTGATCTTACTGCACGTTGAATAAAAGGCTTACATAATATGTCCAAATACTGGAACGTTACTCAATTCTAAGATGCGCTTAAGTATTCTTCTGCTAGAGTCGTGGGGGCCCGGAGATTTAAGACGCCCTCTTCTCCTGCATGAGGATGCGGGTTCGTAACCTACCACGGCAAGTACCAATGTGACATTCTCCGAGTTGTATGTACTTTCTAAGATCTAGACACCACTGACAAACGGTGAAGGAAAACATCGTGAGGAAACCTGGACTTATAATTTCTAATTATAAGTTTGTAATTGCCAACCCGCATTGAGCAAGCGTGGTGATTAACTCGTTGAGTACCGTCATTATATGTAGACACAA